GAATTTCGCAATTCGTAATTCATTCTGGTTGCCTTCACCTCCCGTTGATTTTCTCTCTCTATCCTAATATACATTTTCTAGCCACTTACTCTGCAGAGCATGCATTGAATTATATATCACTTGTCTGTTGTTTCCCTAAAGAATGCTTTCCATGCTCTTCTCAGTGTATTTATTTACATAGTTTGTAAATATGTTATCAAGGGGTAATACAGTCTTGTCAGATTCTTGTAGATTGTATGGCAGTTTAGATTACTATTTCTGAGCTGTAATGTTCTGTGTATCAAAGGTGAAATTGAATAGATAATGTATTGATGTAAGATTGTGTGTATATATATATATGATTGTATTTCCGTTATGTTCTGAATCCCTGACGTTGTGGGTAAAAGATATTGTGAATAAAGAAGGATTATTGGTTTGTTTGTGTTTGATTTACCACATTTTTCTCTTGGGGTTTACTTGTTTGTGAATCACTACCCATGAGATTTATTTTTTTAAGGTGGCAAGTGCATAATTTGTTAATGTGCGATCTATTGTATAAAACAGTGGTTAAGTTGAAATTAATTCCTCTTTTTTCATTTTCTTTTTCTTTTTTTTCTTATGTTCTTTTGTAGTGTTCCTAATGTTTTATTGTTTGCTGATTAAAGTTTCAAAAGCAGTTGCTAAATGATGGATGTAATTTGTATTTAGGTACAAGTGTTCAACTTGATCTTTAAATGAAAAATACCTTCGTCTCACAAGACAGAACTGAAAACGTAAAATGTAAAGCAAAAAGAAAAATATGAGAAAATGGCAGATGAAAATAAAATTACCAGTGACATCCTGTCGACGTCTATAGTTCACATCCATATTTGCAATTTTTTTGTTAGTATCAATAAACTAGTTAGTAACTGTATGTGAAGAATTGTTAATGAAAAGTGCTTAAAAAACTATTTAAAAAATCCTCACAAGCCCATTTATATGGCCTTATATGTATATATCATATCATATATATAATATGGAAGGCCTAAAGAAGTACTTACTAAGACCTTGATATTATGTTAAGCACATAAGCTCCTTAGATTAAAACAATATATATGAAAAAGTTTGACATTATCCATTTCCATTCTGATGACACAATACTACACTCCATACCTTTAGATCTGTAAAATTAACTTAAAATAAAGCCCCAAAATATTTAGTTCACTTCCCCATAAACAACCACACATTTAGGCATGGCAGCTTACAAATACGTTATGTCAGCCTGCAAGTGTGTATAATTAGCAACTGTAACCCAAAATTAACCGGGTTTAAGTGTACAAAATAACTCCAGAAACACATGTGTCTTTTTGCGCAAATTGCCAACTTAGAACTTGGAGAGATATAAGCCTGATGATATTGGTTCTTTGGAAGCTAGACGTTATATACCATGACTAAAACCTGTTGTATTTATTTTCACCTGTAGTCTCAGAATACCATCTTGCTACACACCTGGCTATGATGTATATTTACATTTTTTTATCTATTTCATTAGTATTACAAACCTGTCCAGAAAATAACTGGTATTCGAAGTAACCTGTGTATTGAGGTGTTGTTGAATACGAGTCTAGTAATTCCCACATCATTTTGCGTTTATCTGAGATATGTACATAAAATCACGGTTCAGAAAGATATACAGATTCATTTTTCAGATAATGTATTACTCTGAGGTAAACATTAAATAAAATTTCGCTTTTATCTGAAGAATTCGCCGCATTTTGTCGGCCTCTGGGGAGAAAAAAGACGAGAAAATGATTTAACGGGATATCTAATCAGAGACCAAGAGATAATAATTATTTCAAGATCGCAATTACTTCTGTGTAGAGATTATCGTGGAAAATTATCAACAGAAACAAAATTCACGGTGAAAAAAGTTAGAGAGAAAATGTATGAATGGTAGTGAATAGCTTCACAACACATGAGATGCATTTTCGTGGTTGTCGATTATATTTATATCAGAAATACACATATTTTTTGTATGAATATAGAATCGAAAGGTGTCAGTTATATGTTTTGTTATTCGTCCTCATTCATACATTTTTCTTCGATCACTAAAAATATTAAGTATGAATTACAGCTGCTCACCATTATCACAGTGACCCACACATTGATGGTTCTGTAATGTTAATTCCTGTGTGTGTGTGTGTGTGTGTGTGTGTGTGTGTGTGTGTGTGTGTGTGTGTGTGTGTGTGTGAGTGTATGCATGCGTGCATGATTATTTCTATTTTCGTTTCTATTTTTATTCCCTCGAGGTGGAAAAAAACAGACAAACACAACCTTATACATACCGACAGAAAGGTTAGAAAGGGTGTCACCCCCCACCCCTCATTAACAGAGTATGCGTTGCCTCACCAAGGTACGTACAACCCCGCTTCGTGTTCTTTATTCATATCAGGTATTTCTCGCCGGCTGAGGACAATGCGGCAGAATATTCGGCATTCTCCCTCTCTTCCCCGATACTTACATACCCGGGACATATATTATTGGTTGAAAGAGATATATGTGACTTTAATATAACCCTAGACCGAGTTAATTCACACACACGCACGCACGAGCACACACACACACCCACACACATATATCATATATTTACATATACATAGACATCTACATATGTATGGTAGAAAAACACACAAACTGGACAAACTAGATTTACTAAAATCGAGACAGCAGTTTCGAAATCCTCCTGGATTCCCTCTTCAGATCTGAAAGAGAAAGGGAGAGGAGGGAGTATAAAAGAGAGAAAGGAGAGGCGACACTGAAAACAAAGGGCAGGTGAGAACAGGTGAACGGAAGCGAAGGGAGGTCAGTACCTGGATGGAGAGATCGATTCCGTGCGTCGTTCGTTCTCCAAAATTGGCCTCGTCATGTTCTCGACGTCGCGTTCTCCAGGGCGCGGCGTACCTTCTACCACGGCTCTTCTCCTGAAGGGACTCCGCACCTGCCTGTCTTCAGCCTGCCCTAAGTTGAGGAGATCTACTCTCACCATCGCCCTCTTCACTTTCTCAATTGCAGGCTGATTTTTCGCCTGGTGAACACTTTCCGTCGCAACCTGGTCCACACTGGCTCTCCCTCTACCTCGAAGGTGGGCACATATGCTGTTCCTTATGCCTCCTGCGACAAGTGAGGAAAGCGTCTGTCTCAACATAAATACTCAACATAAATACGCTGTATCCAGGGGACACAACAACGCAACGCCCTCTTCTGCCATCAGTGGGGCACAGGCCATCAGATGGGCTGGTCAGTGGCGCTGATGTCCACGCCCACAGACTGGTGGAATCTTCCTTAATAAAGCTGCTGCCTCATTTCAACTTGAACAGCGGCTTTTCTCCTGCCGATAGCCTCCTCACTTCCCACATTCTCCGCCTTCTCCCTTACGCCGGCCACCCTTCGCAAAGACCACCTGATCCTTCGACCTGAGCTGACCTCCTTTCACTATCGTTCACCTGTCCTCACTTGCCCCGTGTTCACCGCGTCGTCTCTCCTTTTTCCTTTCTCTCTTTTACACTCCCTCCTCCCCCCTTCCCCTTCAGACCTGAAAATGGAATCCAGGAGGATTTTGAAACTGTTGTCTCATTTTTAATAAATCTAGTTTGTGCATTGTAGGTTTTTCATATATGTATACATGTGTGTGTATGTATATATATATATATATATATATATATATATATATATATATATATATATATATATATATATATACATATGTGTACATACACACACACACACACACACACACACACACACACACACACACACACACACACACACACACACACACACACACATATATATATATATATATATATATATATATATATATATATATATATATATATATTATATATATATATATATTTGTGTGTGTGTATATATACATACATACATACATCTCGTTTTAATTTCAATACATAATTTCATTTTAATCATATCTAAATAGAAAGAAGGCGGTTTTACGTCAACGAAATTATGAGAAATTATTATATTTACACAACAAACAACATTACAAAAAATAAACATTCAAACCACAATACACTAAGTTCATAGCAACATACATAACCACACGAATAAAACATCTTTAGAGAATATATGGACATGTTATATGTACATTTCCAACCCTCGTGTCCACAGTTCTCTCTAGTTCAATGTTCTCTCTTGTTCAGTGTTCTCTCTAGTTCGTTTTCGGTTCTCGTGTTATATGTACATTTCCAACCCTCGTCTCCACAGTTCCCGTCTTCACTGTTTTCGTCTCCACAGTTCTCTAGGTCTCCATACTATTCTTCAGAAAAAGTGTTGCTGAGAGGTCTGAATTTGCAACCTCCGTCTCCAGTTTTCTTCAGAAAGAGTGTGGTTGTTTGGTCAGAATTTGCAATCCCCGTCTCCAGTTTTGCTAAGAAGGATTGTTGCCATTAGATCTAGATTTGCAACCTCCGTCTCCAGATTTCTTAAGAAAGAGTGTGGTTGTTTGGCCAGAATTTGCAATCCCCGTCTCCAGTTTTGCTAAGAAGGATTGTTGTCATTAGATCTAGATTTGCAACACCCGTCTCCAGTTTTCTTAAGAAAGAGTGTGGTTGTTTGGCCAGAATTTGCAATCCCCGTCTCCAGTTTTGCTAAGAAGGATTGTTGCCATTAGATCTAGATTTGCAACACCCGTCTCCAGTTTTCTTAAGAAAGAGTGTGGTTGTTTGGTCTGAATTTCCAACGCTCGTCTCCACAGTTTTCTTCAGAAAGATTATTGTCATTAGGTCTAAATTTCCAACCCTCACCTCCACAGTTTTCATAAAAAAGAGTGTAGTTGTTCGGTCTGAATTTCCAGCGCTCGCCTCCAGTTTTCTTAAGAAAGATTGTTATCGTTAGCTTCTAAATTTGCAACCACCGTCTCCAGTTTTCTTAAGAAAGAGTGTTGCTGATAAGGTCTAAATTTGCAACCCTCGGCTTCAGTTTTCTTAAGAAAGAGTGTAGTTGTTTGGTCTGAATTTCCAACCCTCGTCTCCAGTTTTCTTCAGAAAGAGTGTTGTCTTTAGGTCTGAATTTCCAACGCTCGTCTCCACAGTTTTCTTCAGAAAGAGTGTGGTTGTTTAGTTGGAATTTGCTACCCTCGCCTCCAGTTTTCATAAGAAAGAGTGTAGCTATTTGGTCTGAATTTCCAACCCTCGTCTCCACAGTTTTCTTGAGAGACGCGAGAGTGTTGTTAGGTTAGAGATGAAAGGAATTTCCTAAAAGTTTGATGTTTGTTTTTTCCGTTGCGGATGTGTGTGGTCTTTCTTTAACCTCTCTCTTTCTCTGTTTATTTTATCTGTCGATCTTTCTGTTTATCTGTTTGTTACTTCTATCTTTAGCTCGGTCTATCTGTCTGTCTCTCTTTCTTTTTCTCTGTCTGTCTGTCTGTCTCTCTTTCTT